GGTATAAAACACATTCCACTCAATGCCAGGAGAGCAGTTATTTTCAGTGGCTCCACCACTTAATAAGTTTTCAGAATGCTCAGTAGGAATTACTCTTAAGTTTTGCTGCTCTGCTACAAGATGGTTTGTGTGTGTGTGTGTGTGTGTGTGTGTGTGTGTGCATGTGTGCGTGCACGTGTGCACATATGCCTGTGCCAATACTTGTCACAGTGTGCCTGTGGAGGTCAGAGGACAACCGTGGGTGTTGGTCCTCACCTTCTACTCTGAGATCAGGATCAGGGTCTCTGTTGTTTGCTGTTTCGCACCCAGGCTAGCTGGCCTGCAGGCTTCCAGGGATTCTCCTGTCTCCACCTCCCATTTAGGAGGTCTGTAATCCCATGTAGGAGTACCAGGATTACAGACATACTCTACCACACAGGCTTCAACAAGGGCTCTTGATATCTAAACTCAGGCCCTCACGCTTGTGAAACAATTACTTTATCCAAGGAGCCGTCTTCTCATCTCTGAAACGGTTCTTAACTTCCTTATCTGCGTGTTTATGGATCCCCTAAAAAACACTGGAAGAGGGCTGGTAATTGCTAGATGGTAAAGGAACCTGCTGCTAAGCCTGACAACCTGAGTTTGATCCTCAGGACCCACATTGTCCTGGCACATGTGCACCCCCCCCAAATAAACAAATAAAAAGTTTAAAAAACCCACAGGGGATTGAAAAGATGACTCAGTGGCTAAGAGCACTGGCTGCTCTTACAGAGGACCTGCGTTTGGTTCCTAGTACCTATATGGTGGCTAACAACCATCCTTAACTCCAGTTTCAGAGGATCTGATGTCCTCTCTGGCCTCCATGGTCACTGCACACACGTGGTGCACTTATATACGTGCAGGCAAAAACACTCATACACATACAATTAAAAAACTCAATAAAAACTTAGCATCCAAGGAAAGAGTTATTTGGAGGCAAATTAGGGAAGCACTGTGAAATCAGGACACTACTATCACTCTGCAAAGCAACTGCAAGGCAGAGTGGGTTTTTGGAAATGAATCTCTGGGCAGCCAACTTCAGTCTAGGCCTTTTCCTCACTAGTGATTTGGCTAATACACCTTCCTTTCTACATCTGTAGTGACAATGTGTTCTGTCCATCTCAGGAAGAAGTGCCTTCACACTCAGACTATGAACAAGGAGCTTGACAAGACTATCACAAACTAGTTCATAGATAGTAACAAAATGTTACTGTGAAACTGTGATGAGGTTACATAGAATGAAAGAGATTTGGATTAAGACGTGCATGGTGAGGGACTGGAGAGATGGTTCAGCGGTTAAAAGCACTGTCTGTTCTTGCAGAAGACCAGGGTTCAAATTCCAGCACCCACATAGTGGCTAACAATTGTCTGTAACTCCAGTTCTAAAGGATCTGATGCCATCTTCCAACCTCCGAGGGCATTTCAGGATACGGGTGCACTTATATACATGCAGGTAATATACACATTAAATAAAAAAATAATTTAAAAAGACATGTGGTGGAGAGAACAAAGTCCCACAAATTGTCCTCTGAGCTCCACACATAGACTGTACACACACGCACACACACACACACATACACACACACACACACTAAATATAATAATTTTAAAAAAGACCTTAAGGAGAGGTTTAAGAAGAGGCAACACTTGTAGTGAGCCCGAAGAGAAGGATGGGAGGGAACATGAGAGGCAGAGTGGAGTGCAGAGTCAGCAAAGGCACGGCCATGTGAGAATGCAGTTTGTCCGGGGGAGGGCCGATGTCCTGTGCTGTTGGTATGGAGGCAGTGGGTTAGGAGCTGAGGAACAGGACTGTGGGTCCCTAGGGAGTCCAGGCACCTAACTCTTCTCTGGTTCAGGGTTGGGGTTTCTCTGACATAACTCCCTTAAGAGTAGGTCCTGGATATACAACCTCTCATTTCCTCTTTGTCCCTGTGACTTACTTTTGACCTCAATCTCCACATCCTTTGCCCCTCTGCACATAAAAAAGGACCTCTCCCCTTTAACTCTTGAGTAGACTTCATTGGTCTGGGATTCATCCACCTGTTACCTGCTGCAAAATATATGAAAAGTGAAATGGCATATGCCTTTGGGCCCTGGGGGCCCAAATCTGATCCTAACTAAGTGGGACTCTAGCTAGACTCTGGCAGGTGAGGGAGAGGAACAAAGAAAACGATGCTTGGTGTATAGTTGGTGCTTAGTCAGAATTTGTTGAATAAACAAATAAGGCCTCTTGTGCATTACAGGGTGACTCTCAGGCATGGCTATCTACCTGAGTCAGAGTGCTTCCTATTTGGGTAAGAGGAAAGAAGGGAGAAGAAATGTGTGTGTTCTAGCCCTCCATGCATTTGGGCTGAGGCCAGATTGCTTCTTGAGTTAGGAATTCTTGTCTGGCAGTTTTTTTTTTTTTTTT